TGTGCCAAGGGGTAGAAGTGGGGGGCGGGGGTCCCTGAGCAGTGGGGGTCCCTGTGCCAAGGGGTAGAAGTGGGGGGCGGGGTCCCTGTGCCCTTTGGCCGGACCCGCACCTGAACAGCACCAGCACTTGGTTGACGCGGGGCTGGAAGAAGGTGACCCGGGGCCGCGAGACCTTCTGCTCCTCCATCCCGCCGGCTGGGCTGGGCTGGGCCGGGCCGGGCCCCTGCCTCGGGGGCGGGCGTGTCACAATGGCCGGGGGTGGGAGGGGTCTGGTGGGTGGCGATCCGCGGCGGGATCCCGGGGGAGGCTCGGGGGGTGCGGGGTCCCGGGGGCGATCCGGTGGGGATCGGGGAGATCGAGGTGCGGGATCCCGGGGGTGGTTCTCGGGTTCGTCCCGCAGCGCTGGAGGCGGCGGCGATTGTCCCTGCGCGGGCCCCGTGGCCGGTTGCCCCGGAGACCGGGGGGCTGCGCGGTGTCGGGGTCAGAGGCAGGAGGCGCCGCCGGAGGGGACGGGGGGTGAGCGCAGCCGGGCGGGGGCCTCCCAGCCCATCTCCCGGGGGTCAGTGCTGCCCTCCCGGGGCCCCGGCCCAGCCCGCCGGCAGCAGGGTGGCGGGAAGGCCCCAGCTCCGGGAGCCCCTTCGCGGCTGGTTATTTCTGTGCGGAGCGAGGGGGGCTCCTGTTGAGCCTCGCCGGGGTGCGGAGCGGCTTGGGCACGGGCCGCCAGCTAGAGGGTACAGCACCGCCCTCCCCACCCACCATCTCACCTCTTAGGGCGGTGCTGACTCACCCTTGTCCGTGCCCAGCGCCCACTGAGCCTCCCTGCTTGGGTCACCCGCCTTCCAGTGCTAGCGCTTTGGGGCAGGCTGTACAGCGCCGGGCACCACGGAGTCCTGGGCCATGTCTGGGGCTGCTAGACACAACCGCAATACCGATAAATTACCACACTGGGCTAAAAACAGAATGATAATAAGTCACCAGTATTCACAGCACGGCGGCTGTCGGAGTCCTGTGTTCAAACAAAGAGGTTACAAGTGAGAATAAAGTCTCCCTCTAGTCTGCCTGCCCATGAGCCAGGGCCTGCCTCCGTTGAGAGAAGGGCAGGGGAGCCTCATTATAGCCCTGTTATGTTTCAGGATTTCCAAGTCTCAGGAACTTGAACATTCATTCCCCCCCTCCATCAGCTTTACAAAGGGGCAGCCTTTCAATGTTTACTCCCACACGTTCCCTTCCTTGAAAGCCACACACACACTCAGCTCACCGTTTTTCTACACCTTCTGCCCTAAACTATTGTGGACTCAGAAGTGGGTGCATTCAGGCTGTGGGCAGTGGTCGCTGTGTGTACAATGGTTTGTTAAGCACTGTGGGATCCTTTGGTGCATTAGGATTTGAAATGATTGTAATGATAGCAAAGTAACCCATTTAATTTCTCCACTTCCCCCCGTTTTGCATTATGTGTTGAGGTCATTGGCTATCTTTCACCTTGCACTTTATGTAACCTTGTGAGACTGTTCCAGCAGCTGTGCAGGGGTGGCCAAACGGTAGCTTTGGGATGCAGAAATGGCCTCTCCTTGAAGCACTCTGAATTCATCTGTGGTGCAGTACTCTAGGCTGCAGCAGATAGCATGCCCCCCTGCTCCTGTTTGCTGCTATAGTTGCTACAGTTTCATAGAGACAGAGCAGGAGTGTAATCCTAAAGCAGAAACAGCAGTTTTCTGCACCAAAAGGGAACCAGTTTCACTAAGGGTCAGTGGGAAAGAGAGCAGGTAAGCACCTGAGAGTGTAAATCCTGATACTAGCACTTTGAACTTACATAGTACCTGCCATTTGAGGAGTTCAGTGCACTTTATAAACTATAATTTACTCTCATATTTGTAACCCCAACTCACATGTAATCTGTAAATGAATCCTAATGCTGATCTTTACTCTCACCAGCAATCCATAACCCTGAATGTAAAATGAACCATTTACCTGAAACCTATAACTGGTCATGCCAAATCCAATCCATATTTGTAACTCTAACCCACAGCTGTAACTCTCATGTGCAACATAATCTGAAACACACAACCCAATCTTAACCCTATACATAACCCAAGCTCATAACCAGTAAACTGCAAGCATTGACTACAGTTAATACATAACCCATGTTTGTAACCTAAACTCATAATTTTAAACCCATAATACATCATTTTATATTTCTATAAAACTTTTCATCCACATAGCACTATACAAATAGGCTTTGAAGGATTAGATTTTTATCAGTAAATGTCGGTTTTACTTTATACACATAAACCAACGAAAAAAGTATTTCCATGGCTGATAGAAGTTACAGACATACAAAGAATAATGCTGCTTTATGTTGACCCCCCATAATTCATGCAAAAATGCAAACATTTAAATCAGTAACCATTTAATTAAAAAAATATATATCTGTTGACATTATTTTAAAAAAATCAGATTCTGCCAAGCCTATATATAAATATCCAAGCATGAGGCTGCCCACCATAGATTCCATCTGGCTGGAAAAAGCAAGGCTGGCCCCAGTGGTTCATGCTGCTGCCCAGCCCTCTCTGTACAATACCACTGTACAATATAGGGTCTGGGTTCCTACCAGTGTACAATAGAGGGTCTGGGTTTTTCCTTCCTTTTGGCCATAGCTCAGTATCGTCCAGTGGGCTCCTGTAAATTTCTAACTTGTTATGAAAGCTGGAGGAGGGGATGGAGCTAATTCTGAAACCTGTTTAATTGCTGCTTAGTATTGTTCAACAAAGACTTGTCTACCTGAGAGAGAGCCTGTATTCTAATACAGTGATTCTCAACCAGGGGTACATGTACCCCTAGGGGTACAGAGGTCTTCTGGGGGTACATAAACTCATCTAGATATTTGCCTAGTTTTACAACAGGCTACATAAAAAGCACTAGCAAAGTCAGTAGAAACTAAAATTTCATACAGACAATGATTTGTTTATACCGCTCTATATACTATATGCTGAAATTTAAGAACAGTATTTATATGCCAATTGATTTATTTTATAATTATGTGGTAAAAATGAGAAAGTCAGCAATTTTTCAGTAACAGTGTGCTGTGACACTTGTATTTTTATGTCTGATTTTGTAAGCAAGTAGTTTTTAAATGAGATGAAACTTGGGGTACACAAGACAAATCAGACTCCTGAAAGGGGTACAGTAGCCTGGAAAGGTTGAGAGTCACTGTTCTAATACAGCAGCTGAGATTGGTGGGTTTAGATGTGTCATAGAATCATAGAATCATAGAATATCAGGGTTGGAAGGGACCTCAGGAGGTCATCTAGTCCAACCCCCTGCTCAAAGCAGGACCAATTCCCAACTAAATCATCCCTAGAGAACTGTCCCTAGAGAACTGTCTTGAAAGGCTGGGCACAGTGCCTTCTCCATTGTGGGTCCATTATCCTGTGATGCCCTTCCCTAGTAGACATCTAGGGCATCCTTCCTTGCAAGTCAGTCTAAGGCTTGCTGCAGGTGTTTGTGGTACAGAGTGTGCTTACTGCACTTGCTCTTGGATTTGTTTGGCAGCTTGCCTGTCCTGAGCGTGAACTCCATTAGGCTGTGGAATAGTATCCTGGAGAAGAAGTGAAAACCCCTTTCACCTGTGACATCAGATGGAATCACTTTGCATTTATAAAGCAATCATGCATTGGCTGGGAGCTGGACTGGATGAGGCCTAAGACGGCTTCCCCATCTTTAACATGGATGATTCTAGATCTAGTTAATTTTTAAACCACGTGAAAACTTCACCTTTACTAGTTTGGTGGCAGCAACCTACTGTCTTCAGTCTCCCAAGTGTCTTCTCTCTGTTTTCTCTAGGCAAAGAGCGTGACGATGCAGCCCTCCGTTGCAGCTGGTTTATAAAGTTTGCCTTAATGAATACAGTTTTTGGCTCTATTCCCATCTTATTCAGGCATCCGTCCATTTATGGCCTGTCCAGGATCACCAGTAGCCTGTACCTCAGCAATGGTACGGCTGCCAATAACAAGCTCCTGCTCTTCGCCAGCCAAATCACTACTGTCATCAATGTGTCCGTGGAGGTGGTGAACACCTTCTATCCAGACATTCACTACATGCACATCCCTGTAACTGACACCCCCATCTCTCGCCTCTACGATTACTTCGATCCCGTGGCAGATAGGATCCATAGCGTGGACCTGCAGCAAGGGCGGACACTGCTACACTGCGCTGCAGGCATCAGCAGGTCAGCTGCCCTGTGTCTGGCCTATTTGATGAAGTACCATGCCATGTCTCTGGTGAATGCTCATGCCTGGGTCAAGTCCTGCCGACCCATCATCAGACCTAACAATGGGTTCTGGCAACAGCTTGTCCAGTACGAGTATAAACTCTTCGGCACCAATACAGTCCGAATGGTCAACTCTCCACTGGGCTTGATTCCGGATCTCTATGAAAATGAAGTAAGAATAATGATAGCGTTTTGACTGTAACTAGCTTTACCACATCTCGTGAAGGAGCCCAGAGAGAAAACGAAGGAGCAGCTCAGCTTGATCAAGTTTGGAACTTGGACAATAAACTCTTCAGCCCAGTGAGGTTTGCTGCGTCACTCCCTGCTGATATAAGTATAGGGGATTAGCTGAGACGAATGGGGCTGTCTGATTTTTACTATAAATAAAACCAAAATTAAACTACACTGTTGTGTTTCACATCCCATTTGTATTGAGTTCTCCCAGGAGCTCTAGGTGCTGTCTCAGTGCTACTGCTATGTGTTTAGAAAGCATCCTTTTATCCCAGCATAGCGCGATGTTAGCCATCTCTGGCTCTGTTCACGCTCAGGGATAGATTCCAGTGGAAACTCAGAACAATGGGAAAGTTGCCAACAATTCTTTTTCTAAGTAGGAATTGAAATGAAGTGTTCTGAAAAACTGACCCCAAACCCCATCCTCTGCTGTGCTGCAGAGATGCTAGAGATGTCCCCTGCATCCCTGTTGCCAGAGGCTTAAGGATTCCCTGCCTTCTCCTTTCACCTCTGCACCTCATTGCCCCCACTGCCTTTCTGCTGGAGGATGCATAGGCACTCCTCCCTTCAGAAATCTTAATTATCTGAGGGAATTGCTGTGCAAAAACCTGGTGACTCCCACACCCACAACCTCTTAGGGCTCAAGGTTCTGCCTCTGCAGCACTGCCAGCCTATGCAGAGAGAAAATGGGACCAGGAAACAGGCAGACAGGGGGTTCCTACATGGCAGTTTTGATCAGTATCACAAGATCACCAGTGAAGTTGTCAGGTGTCCTTGCTTTGGCCATTTTGGCTTGAGCAGTGGCAGCTGCTGTCTCAGTCATGACTCTTGCCTCAAACCCTCAAGTCTGGCATCTGAAGCTTAGGGCTGCATGGAGGATCTCCATGTTTGAAGGGGAAGATCTCTTCAGCCTCAAGGAACAGGAGATGCTGTAGAAATGATAGGAGTACTTCTGGCACCTTAGAGACTAACAAATTTATTTGAGCATAAGCTTTCGTGGGCTTATGCTCAAATAAATTTGTTAGTCTCTAAGGTGCCACAAGTACTCCTGTTCTTTTTGCAGATACAGACTAACACGGCTGTGTAACAAGTCCTCTGCCCAGCCTTCTTCCTGGGGCCCACTGGCTGCCCCAATAAAGCACAGAGAGGCTTTTCCTTCTGCAGCACCCGTGGCTTTATTTACAGACTTCTCCCACTACCAGTGATATACTATATACAGTTTGCAGGCCTTACAATCTCCACTTCCACCCAGAGACTGACCTTCCCCTGGCCATCCCCCCTTCCTGCTGGCTGCCAGCCAGCCTTTATAGCCCTTGAACCCTCAGGCCCACAGGTGCCGCCAGTTCTAAAGGCCAGGCACCAGACTTCTCCCCAGCCCCAATCTATTTCCCCTGATTGGGGCTGGCTGAGCAGGGGCTAATTAGGTGCCTCTGCACCAGCACCTCCCCCCTTAAGCTGGTGCCAGGCCTGGTCTTCCTCGGCCTCGCTTTCCTTGTCCGGGGATTTTACTCTGGGGTTGGGCCTCCTGCCCAGCTGAGGGATCCCCAGGCACCACCCCATGGGGCTTTGGCACACCCCACCCACAAAAGGTGCATTGGGTAGGAGGCGGGGCACCCCACATGTCCACACTCACCCAGAGGTCCTCACACCAGTCACATGGTTGGGCCGGCCACCCCAGAGGGTCCCCTTCCTTTTCTAGTGGGGATGACGGCTCAGAACCCACTGCCCTGAGTAGAAATGATGGACACAATGTTCACTGTTATGCCTCTTCAGCCTGGTATCCTGGAGAGATCACCTTATGTCTGCTGGTTCCCACACTTATTTTAACCCTGTTCTTGAACTGTACAATGGCCCAAATACAATGCAAGGCAGAAGCATGGCTCAGGGGCACAGTCCAATCCTATCTAAGGTGCAAGGTCTTGTCTACACTGTTTCAGTGCGAGTGTAGTACCTGCAATAGTGCAATTAGTCCTCCTAGTACTATGCTCTTTCTCACCCACGAGCAACATCTCAGACTGCTGGCTGTCATGGGTCAAACTAGCTGCACGCAGGCCCAAGAGCAGCCAGGATGGTCCAGAGCTGGTCTTAGCTCTGTTCAGCCCTTCTGCTCCCTCATTCAGGCCAGGTCCAAGAGACACTAAGGCTGTACGTAGCTGGTCTCACCTCTTCTTGTCCCCCCTGTGCACCCTGGCATTCAGTCCCATGAGCAGCAATAAAGGACACCCCAGTAATCCAAAATACAACTTTCCTAGAACTTAGCAAAAGCAGAAAAAACTAATTTTCTTTTAAATGTCCAGAGGATTCACTTGTGTCACCCCCGCCCCCGCCCCACACACACACTGGTTAGGCTACAGCTGCCCCACATCCCCAGTGTAGAGGCAGGGATGGGGTCACTGCAGTCTGCTTCTTGCCTCAGCAATATCACCCATGCCCCTGAGATCTGAAAGAGGCGGACAGACCAGGGCATTAGTTACACAGATACACAGCAAAGCTAATGCTAGCCTCACTAATCCCTAGTGATTCAGCATCGCTCATCTCCACTGAGTAAGAACAGCCCCTGGGGGCACCACTGCCATAGGTGAGGGCAGGCATGGAGGCTGTATGGGGGCCCCCGGGAGATGTCCTCCGGCTGGGCCCAGACAAGTCAGATTTCTGGATCCTAGAGGGAGACCATTCAGTTACAGACAGGGCCGGCTCCGGGGTTTTTGCTGCCCCAAGCGGCGGAAAAAAAAAAAAAAAAAAAGCCGCGATTACGATCGGCGGCAGCTCCACCGCACCGCTTTCTTCTTCAGCGGCAATTCGGCGGCAGGTCCTTCCCTCCGAGAGGGACAGGGACCCTCCGCCAAATTGCCGCCGAAGAGCCCGACGTGCTGCCCCTTCCCCTTGGCCGCCCCAAGCACCTGCTTGCTTAGCTGGTGCCTGGAGCTGGCCCTGGTTACAGAACACTAACATAGCAAAAATAGTGTGTCAGTCACAGAATGACAAGAATGGGGGTGTTGCTATAGCCCTCCCCCACAGGAAGCCCCCTCTGTACTATGTATTTTATGCCAGCCCTGGGGTGCCCATCGCTGCTCCTTTCCCCCGGGCTGTGTCTATGTGTCTGTCTGATAGCGACAGACTCCTGCTGCTTGCTCTCTGCCCCAGGCAGCCGCCTGCCCCCCACCCCGCCTGCTGTGGAGGCGCAGCAAGGCAGCTCTGGCACCGCCCCCACAGCTCCCATTGGCCGGGTTCCTGGCCAATGGGCTGGGAGCCGGGGCGGCAGGGGACAGCGTGCGGAGACTCTCTGCAGCACAGGGGAGCCGGGAGCTCACCCATGGCGCGGGCCCCTCCAAAGCACTGGGCCCAAACATTGGTGGAGCCAGGCCCACCTTCATGAATATTGATGGCTCATGGGCACCACGGGCCTATATAAGTCTCCCCTATGAATAGTCATGCTTTTTTCCTCCTCCAGTGCCCAAGAATGGCGGTGCTGGTTGGTAGAGACCCAACCCAGACTGCTGGACCCAGAGACTGCCAGGCAGCTACTGACTCTGCCGTGGTATCTACAAGCATGAGGGCATAGCAGGGGACAGCCCCAACCCCTCACTGGCACACACAAAGCTCCTCATGCCAGCCAGAACCATTCAAAGCAGTCTGCAGAGCCAGCTAGCTACATGAACAGGTACAACAGATTCTATATGCCAGGAGTGGCCAGACTGCGGCTTGCGAGCCACATGCAGCTCTTTTACAGTTAAAGTGTGGCTTGCGGAGCCCTCCCCCCCATTCTTCACCTATCAGAGTTGGGGGGGGTATGACTCGGAGCTTCTGCCCTGCGGCAGGGTAGTGGGGCATGGGGCTTCTGCCAGAGATGACTGGTCCCTGCTGAGAGTGGGGGGGAGGGGGCACAATTTAAAGGTTCGCCACCCCCCCAACAGCTTGAGTCATGCCCCCCTCTTACCATCAACAGCCCCTCCCTGCAGCTCCCAGGTGTTAGCTCCATGTGGAGAGGCAGCGGCAAACATCTGGGAGCTGCAGGGAGGGGTCACTGCTTTAGCTCCGCAGGAGAGGCAGCAGCAAAAGTAGCTGCTCTCCCTGCAACTCTGAGCTGTTTGGTGCTGCCTGACCCCATGGCCGCAGCTCGTGCCGGGGGGGCGGGGGGGGCCTCGGTGGCACCATGTGACTGAACGGGGCCAGCAAACCCTGGCAAAAATCAGAGGGGGCACATGACCCCCCCCCCCCCCATGTGTTGCCTCTGGCTTCTGCCCAATGGTGAAGGGTGTCTCAGGGCTTCAACTGAAGCCCTGAGCCTGGGCAGGCGCCTCCAGCAGGGCTGAAACCCTGAGACCCCACTTAGGGTTGCTAACTTTCTACTCGCAAAAAACCAAACACCCTTGCCCCGTCCCTCCTCTGAGGCCCCGCCCCTTCTCAGAGGCCATGCCCCCACTCACTCCATTCCCCCTCTCCGCCTCTGTCGCTCACTCTCCCCACCCTCGCTCACTTGCTCATTTTCACCAGGCTTGCTCGGGGGGTTGGGGTGCGGGAAGGGGTGAGAGCTCCGGCTGGGGGTGCAGGGTCTGGGGTGGGGCTAGAAATGAGGAGTTCAGGGTGTGGGAGAGGGGTCTGGGATGAGGGTGTTGGGATGCATTAGCGGTAAATATGCCCAATGGCCTGTGATGGGATGTTAGATGGGGTGGGATCTGAGTTACTACAGAGAATTCTTTCCTGGGTGCTGGCTGGTGAGTTTTGCCCACATGCTCAGGGTTTAGCTGATCGCCATATTTGGGGTCGGGAAGGAATTTTCCTCCAGGGCAGATTGGCAGAGGCCCTGGGAGTTTTTCGCCTTCCTCTGCAGCATGGGGCACGGGTCACTTGCTGGAAGATTCTCTGCATCTTGAAGTCTTTAAACCATGATTTGAGGACTTCAATGGCTCAGACACAGGTCTGATACAGGAGTGGGTGGGTGAGTTTCTGTGGCCTGTGTTGGGCAGGAGGTCAGACTAGATGATCATAATGGTCCCTTCTGACCTTAAAGTCTATAATTCTATGATTCTAGGTGAGGGCTCCGGTTGGGAGTGCGGGCTCTGGGGTGGGACTGAGGGCTTTGGGGTGCAGGAGGGGG